CACCTTCACGTGGACTCCATATTACAGTCCAAGATCACTGAAAGATTGAGCATTCAAACAATTTGCTGCAGTCGTAATTCTTAATAACAATTAGGCTTTTCCTGATAAACAGCTAGTCAGGCTGAAAGATGTTGATCCGTTATACTAATAATTAAAATTGACTTGGAGGAATTTAATCAGCAATGTAAATCAGAGAGCTCTTTGCGCCAGATGTCATGTAACTGGTTGATCAAACTGCCATTTTGATCATATTACAGAACAAAGGATTGAGAAGGACCTGATTACATTTCAGTATCAGGTTTCAGTCACATCATTATCAATGCACATAATGCAATAAATCTAGACATCAAGTACGATGCTTACAGCTTGAGACAGATGGTACAGCAGATGTTCACCCTATAATATGGTGATCAAGTGATGTTCAGTGTGTGTTTTTTTAAGAAATAAAAAGCCGATGCATGTATTTCAAACACCATATTGGTCGAAAGCCCAATGATCCAACTGGAGACCTGAAACTACAAATGTCCTCCTCTCGGCCTCAAGTGTATTTGTTGCACAACTCATCCTCAGGCTACAATCTGACTCCTTCTGTCTGTGAGGCCACTGTGGTCTGACCTAACCACGTCACCCTTGGATGGGAGGAGAAAGGGTCCTCCTCGGGTATCATAGGGTGCAACACAGGCAGAAAACCACAGTTTTCCATGTGACATGTCCCTTTTGACAAGGGTTATCTATGTTTAGGCTGAGAGTTGTGGCACCAATTATCACCTTATCACAAGAAAATATTTATGCCTGATGGGAAGTGTTCCCTTTTTGCAAGGAGAAGCTGACAGCGGGAATCAGGGGTGTGGAAATGCATTGTTGTACAATAAAGGGACCCAATAAATATCTGTGGTGACGTCTTACACGCAAGTAGATTTAACTAATATTTGGGTTTAATGGCACGTCAACATTTTTTCAAGCTAGAACTCCATTTCACACGATCTTTAACTTCTGCATCCTTGATGTCAAAGATCACATAGCCTGTCTTCATATATGTGATCAAAACAACCAACTACCAACCAAGTAAAGAAATATGAATGCGTTGTTTGTAAATGTGCTAAAAATCCAGGCTCCAATATGAGATGTAGCATACAGTTGGATTTAATTTTCACAAGTACGCTAGACTTAATGTCTCGGGGACAAAAAGATATATATCGTCAATTTGGCATCCCAGACAGAATAATCACATGGTCAAATAATGGTTTCCAGATGTTCTTTTACTCTGCGAGGCACCCCGCAGAGAGTGAAGGCGATTTGTTGTAAACTGTGCAAAACGAGCACTGTTGAACAAACACAAATCTGCAGGAACCATAGACAGATGAATCCTTTTCTGCTATAATTAGCCTTCATGTTTTCACCTCCTTTCACCGCGTCAGCTGTTTTAACCATTTGAGACAATTGCCGGCCGGCGCTGACACAGCTTGAGTGGTCTTGCTGTGCAAATCTAGCCTGTTAATGCCTTCCCTGATCTCCTCTGCAATGGTAAAATAACAGTAATTATCTTTTAGGCATTAGAGAGCAGCATTAGAAGTTGGGCAAGATTCAAAAGGTGCGCAGTAATTCATTTTTCCTGTTTCCTGTTCACTTTTATATCAGCTGAAAATAGGTTGTAACCCAAGCAGCTGTTGAGCCACCAGCCCTTTTAATTTTAGAGGAGATCTATTTACATGTATACATTTGTTTGTGTATAAGGGATTTTAAAACTTTTGTTCGCTTTGCATATTTTTCTTCACATTTGTGTACTACATATATTTGTTGTTGTTGATTTCTACAGAACCTACAGATTTTTGTATACACAAGATGAAAGAGAACTAAATCAAGCCTTTGAGGGCTCTGTTACTTACAATAAAACATACTGCTACAGTTTGCAACAAAAATAAAAGGAGCCTGTGAAGACGTGAATGTCTATGTCAGAGGTCTTCAACAGGGGGTCCACGAAGGTACTGCAGGGGGGTTGCGAATTTTTTGGTTGATGAGACAATTTTTTAAAACATTTTTTTCCCCCACAAATGTAAATGTCTTCAGAATCAGAATTGTATTTATGGTCTTTAAATACACATTAACATGAATCCAACATATTGAAGCGAGCGGATAAATTGATGGAGAAGACTTTATCTGTCAGTCCGCAGCACACACACTCAGCTTCCCTCAGCAGCTCTCAAGCGGTGCACCGGTTCACTCACTGCTCCTTTCATGCGAATACGACAGCGCAGGCACCAGCCAATCAGATCGCGTTTATGCTCACGTCTAAAGAGCGTGAAGCTCCAAAATAAAAGATGGCGGACCAAACTCCGTAGAAAAGGGGGTCCCTGCTCCACCTCGCCATCAGTTTGGGGGACCGTGGCAAAACGTTGAAGACCTCTGGGCTATGTGGCTCCAGACTCACGGTTGCCTCTGCTGATGTCCGGACAATAGTCTGTTTAAAAGAAGGTCTGGACTAGAATTGGTGAGATGAACGTTACTATGTAGTACTAAGTAGCCAGAGCGACGGATGAAAGCATTCAATTACTCAGCGTCTTGTTATGGAAAGCTACGGACAATGTTCTGGGTTTTATCAACCCACACTTTGCATGGCTTTTGGTGCGACACTACTGGTGATTATGTGGTCATTTGGCTGAAGAATTGCCAAGTATATGTCACTTGGCTGTAACTATGCGTGCAATTAATCATGACTTTCTCTCATGTCATAATATGTGACGTTCTTTTCCTTTCATCTTCAATCTTTGACTTCAGCTCTGATGCATTGTCCTCAGACACTATACATATAAAGGGTATTGTTTATCCTGCTTATACTCTACATTAACATGTTGCTGCAATTCCTGATTCTAATTTTTATTTAGCTCATTAATTTTCCATTCACTCTCCAAAGGTTTCCTAAGAGATTATTGTCCCATTGTTGTTTACTTTAGTCCACATATGGCATATGCATTTGGTGAACAGAAAGAACATCGACATCATAAAACCCAATTCGCAGCAATTCTTTTTTCATCATTACTATACCATCCATATAGCATACAAAAGAATCATGCTCTCTATGGAAGGTATATTATTTACTATTACTATAGCATGGAAAAAGCTCTTGATCAAGATCTCAAAGTAGTAATACCAACTCATAGTAATATAAATGAAAAAGCTCTTATAATTACATCACAGGTCATTCAGCAGACGCTTATATCCAAAGCGACTTACATTACACTTTAAACCCATGGCTTGTTCACATTTTGCCCAGGGAGCAATTAGGGGTTAGGTGTCTTATTCAGGAACTCTTCAACATGGAACATGGGGCAGGCTGGACTTGAACCACCAACCTTGTGCTTCCCAGCACACCTTCTCAAACCCCAGCGCCATGACGACCACTGATTAAAAAGCAGTTGCACAGCCGGTTTCCAGATGTTATCAGTAAAACAAAACATCTTCTCACAAAACCTTTAGCTGAAATGCGTACTATCATGGGGTAAGAAACTCTCGGAATTTGTCATCATTTAAAAGTGTAAGTTTTTCTCATTAATGCCAAAGAGTGAACATGCATGTAGGAATGCAGGAATTTCTATTTGTTGCAAATACGGCAGTTTAATGTTGCATAATTCTGCTTACGTTGCATTATCTTCTCCTCCCGACAATATGTCTCATTAACTGCCATTTCAGATTCGTCAGTGTTAGTAAAGTCTAGAAAAAGAAAACATTAGTTGTTGTCATGGTAACAGTCTTCAGCCACACTAGCAACTCTGTGTTCGGCTTTGATGGACATTTAGCCTCGAGGCCCTCAGTAGTGGTCCTGGTGGGCTCGCTAACATACTGAGAGTGTTGGCATGGTGATATTAAACTGGTAAGATACCAAATAATATTTTTGGCAGATAAATATACATTTCGCTAAGAAAACTTTCACAATTTGTCTTCTGGGGACCAAGAATGTCTGCACAAGTATTTGATGAACGGTTATGACATTTTGTACAAGTATCCTACTGAAAACCCTAAATTTAAACTTTTTGGAGTCAGAATACAATTTGATGGCAATCCAGGGAATCACTTTGGATATATTTCCATTTTGGAATGACGTGGTGAACTGACAGACCAACCAATCAACCTCCATTAGCATCTCTAGAAACACAGCCCTAAACTCAACGTGCCCAGTGCGAACGTCCTGTTCTTATCTGAAAAGCAAAACCATGGCTGTTTTTTTCCCCAGAGTAGACAATGCTTCTTTTATATGCCGGACATCTGCCTTTATCATTAGCCTAATTCTTTCCAACCAGAACATTATTTAAAAATAACAAAAAGTTGCAGACATGCCCAGAAAAGCATCCTCTTCTCTGCTGACTCACTGCTGCCACTTGGGCATTTTGTGAGGAATGTTTTGCAGTTGTTAACTGAGCCGAGTTCACAAAATTTGAATTAATTCATCAAATACCACACAATCAGATCATTCTGCACCAACAACAACCTTTTCCCGAGTGTCACAAAAGACAGAAAAGATCAACAGGAAAGCAAATTTCATGTTAGAGTAAAGATAAAACAGGTTATCAGACCCACTTGCTCAATGAAGCGCACAATAGCATCTGATGTTTTGATGTTTAGCGTATATCAGAAAACTGTTACTGCTACTGCTTGAGTTGCTACCCACAGGAACGCATTTAAAAGACTGCACCCTTTTTCTGTGGGTTGTGAAATTGTCCCTCTTTCTTCCAGTAGTTTGTCTTTCTTGTCAGTGTTAAATGAGAAGATCAATATCACGTTTGTATGCATGGCTAAGCAATAAAATTGGAGATGGAGGGAAACAACTAGTCAACATAAAGTTATTATTTAATTAATTCACAAAAAGTAAATATTCTGTTAAAACTATTTAAACAGTTCTCTATGCCATCACTCATGAATCGATCTGAAAGTGGAACTGTACCCCTCATAATGTCAGCACGAGTCAGAGTGAGGTCGTGAGACAGATACCAAACATTCACAAGATATAAGGCAGAATTCAGGAGTTTTATTTTTCAGATCTGCAATGAATTCAATATGGACACAATGATGTTGCAACTCGCTGAAGGGCACGAAAGGATGACAGTCGGTCGCTGTTCGGGCTCTCCTAGACTTCCCAGCAGGGCCGATACACCCGCCCGACCATGCACCTCATAGTGTCCCTCCTCAGAATGGGGATGTTCGGGTCCTGGCCGTTGTCGTCAGCTCTCCGCTTGTAGACGGTCAGTCCGCTGTGCAGCCCCCGCAGGTCCCTCCACAGGCTTGGATCGGCGATGACGATTACCCTCTGCCCTCTGCTTTTGCCCGCTGCTGCCACGTCTGCTTCGACCAGGGCGTTTTCTGGTGCCTCGTTGCTCAGCAGCGAGACGAAAGTATCCCGCTCCAAGGAGCCGTCGTCGGTCTGGCCCATGGGCAGAGCCGCTGCCAGAGCGTAGCACTCAAAAAACAGTGCTACGGCGAAGATGACCGACATCGGTGACCGTGTCATGGTGAAGATCTTCCAGGAGGTGCAGAGTGTTGGCTGCAGAGATGGACTTCTTTCCAGTGGTCTTTGCTTCGTTGTTCTGACCTGGACGTCGTATCGCCCTCTTTTATATCATTTCGGACAAGCTGGATGGGCCACGTTGCATCGTCTCTCATGATTGCTTCTCCTGTTGTGATCAGGAAATTAGTTGAAGCATTAAAAGGCAGTTGGGCAGAAGTCTTGCAGAGTTCAAGAGTGTTGTTTTGGCGGGAAGTTAATTAAAATCATCTCCAACGTGGTGCCTGACAATAGATCGCAGACGAGAAAACAGTAGGAATTCTTTGAGCAGATGACACCAAAAATAACATTAATCCGATATTACTGCCCTTTAAAACAACAAGGAGGGATTACCGACCCGTGAAGCTCTTTGTGCCGACAGGTACTTGGTGGTAAGAGCCGTCCTCTCCAGGCATTGTCAATATGGGATTTAATTTGGGATTAGAGCAAACTGTTGTTTCCTGAAGTGTTTGTCTTCGTGGCAACACCTCACTCCTTGTCGACGTGTCAAAGTGAACAGGAAGTTGGGAAAAAAATGTTTCTCTCGACAATATAGAGTAGATGAGCCCAGAGGTGGAAGTTGATTTAAACTCCTGCTTGACTGCAGCATAATTACCATCCTGCCTCATTACCATTGCCAGGTGGGGCCTCCAGAGACTTCGAACACCTGGACTGGATAATGAATGCAGTCAGATGAAAAGTGTTGACAAATTCACTTTTCTTTTTTTTTTGTCGCTGGGATAATTCACAGTCAGTGAAGCAGCGATGTTCTCCATCTTGGAAGCGGAGGCTGAAAAAGCTTGTGAGCACTAAAAACGTATTACACGTCAACTTAGACTTCAACACTGTAATTTGACAGACAAATTGAAATGCATAATGCAGAACATAATTTGATGTCATTAACTTGTTGAGGTTATTTTAGTCTTGGTATTGTGCAGATGGGAAACGCTGTCAACCATTTCTTATTGAAAGCCATGTCTGTGGTTTCTAAAAGGTCTGGCATTAGAGAATTATCTACACCCTGTTTTTGTTACTGTCTGAAAGGCCTTGTCGGGTTTTCAGGAGAAAGAAGGTTTTGTTTAAAACTTATCTCTCATTCCTATCTCTTGTACCTAGGTGTCAGCTAGTCGTATGTATCCCGTCATTGATGGGACAGGTGTAGATATGCAGATGTCAATGAGGCAAAAAGAGCTTGTTGCTGCTTTTAGAAGACCATATTGATGTAAAATAGGAATAAATAAAATAGTTTTATTCCTAAAGATAATATTTTTTGCCAACATTTCCAATAAACGTGCCAATAAAGAGACAAATGAAAAATATCATCGCTCAGCTAAACCAGAATAGTTTCTCATTACTTGTTTTTCTAGAAACCACACCGGTTTATTTTTTCATTCATTGTTGATTAATCATGGCATTAATTATGTGGCATTAGTTATTGCTCGGTTTAGGAAACTATCCACGTTAATACAGTGGGGTAGTCAGGGTTATGGAAAAAAGACGAATCACACAAAACACATGCAGATTAAGAAGGTTTGAGATGGAAAAATCTAGATGCTAAAAGCATGTTGGCGGATCAAACCGTGAAAGGAATCGACAATGGCTGCAGTTAGCAGACACAATGGGAATCCCAGTCCTTGATGCTAATGTTACATGCTTTCGTACAACTCCCTCCTAATGGGGCTTTCAGACTCAACACAACACTCATTTAGAGGCAGTGTGGTTAGAAGGTTAGAATGGAAGCAGAAACTCTGAGAATGTATATCTTTTCTGCCTTTCTGTCCAACATTTCCGATGCCAACAGCAGTTTTAAATCAACACATTTTAATAAAATTGCCAAAAAAGATTTCCCCTTACATAGGGGAAAAATAAAGAGAAGAAGCAGGGAGCACTCTTTGCTGTTGGCCTTCGGGTGTAAAGGCGGAGGTGTTTGTGCGCCATAGACAGTGCAACGCTTCATCAAGAAGAAGGAAAAAGGCATTTCCAAAAGCGAGTGCGAGAGATGTGCTGACAAGCTGACTAAACGCCAAGCAAAACACTCGGCCTCGGCTCAGGTGTTTGGGGGGGGGCTGAGGGAAGACGTATATAACACCAGCTCAGCGCCGCTTCTCTTTATTACGATACAGAGCGACGGGCAACACGACGCAGGCCCAAATGTTATTCCAGCTAGGTAAACACAGGACTCAGATCTAACAGCACTGAATGTATTAACAGGCACAAATTGAGTTATCTTGTTGAAATTCCAACACGACGCGTTCTGCCAGCCCGTTCTGAGGTCGGACCGGTTGAAATCCTAGTTTTCGTTTGCTCCCAGACAGGTTAAGGATCGCTGTCCAGCAACATGCGCAGAGGGCTTTCCTTCAACAAGGGCACAAAGCTCTGGTGGAAATTCACTGCGTGTTCTCAACCAAGCAACCAGAGAGGTCTGCTTTAACACCAAGGCACGAGTACTTCCATTTTGGTAGACTTGGTAGACCTTTTCTCAATGGTCTGAGATATTGCTTTCACGAGAATGAGGTCACAGGCACTTTGACCTTTGAACACCATTATCGCAATTGTTCTCTAAAAGTCTTCAATTAGTATGCCGCATGAAAACTACCCTGACAAATTCACTCAAAAAGATCACTTGAATACATGTAGAGGATCAAATTACTGCCCTACAATCCTGGGTGAGATTTATGCAGCTCAACGGATTGACATATTCCTTCAAGCCTGAAGGGTAGTAAATATAACACCGGTGTTTGCTCCTAGTTAGTGTTCTTGGATCAGCCAAAGGGCCGTCACATATTCACATAGCAGCCTCAAACACACCTTGGAGGGACCAAAGATGAAAGCCTGATCCCTTTGGCTATTAAAGGCTCAGGCATACGAAAGCAGAGGGTGTCAATGGAAGGTCATGGGGTCAGGAGGCGGCTGTAGGGGAAGATTAAAGTGAAAAGACGGGTCAGGTGCTACCTCGAAGGGTGATCATCTTGGATCTGTCACCAGCCAATCGCAGAACTGATGAGTCACCCAGAGCAGGTCTTTGGACCATGGGAGGAAGCCAGAGTACCCGGGCAGAACCCACACAGACACGGGGAGAACATGCGCACTAGAAAGAACCCAGGACCTTCTTGCTGTGAGGCGACAGTGGTAACCACCACACCACCGTGTTCCACAGAAAATGACATTTGCTAAGTGGGCGCCACACAAAAGAAGAAAGAGGGAGTCCAACATTCAGTTCTCATCAATAGATGATTCTGTGCTGGTAGTCATGGAGATGGTTACTAACATGTAATCACAATGTAGTACAAAAATAGCTGTATTGATGCTCTGCTTGTTGTAGACAGATGTTCTCTCAGCATCCCGTTTTTTGATTTAGGGATTGAAACACAAACTAAATGTATGAGAACATTTGGAAAATGTGAGCCCTGTACTGTAAGGGCCTGAAAACCTACATTCTTAAATCAGCTTCCAGTGATCCTCAAAGTCGAATGAAAAACAAGTTAACCAAGTTGTAACTATTTTCTAATCCAACCGAAGAAAGTAGCCAGAAGTGGCCAACATCTTTGTTTAGATAATTAAACAAAGAAAAAGGCCATAAAAGGAAAATGTTTTTACAAAGCAAATGTTCATTTTATTCGATAGTTAGAAAAGTCTTGTGAAATACTGTCACGGTGTGGTTTCACTTCCTGTTGTATTTTGTAGTTTTCTGCCACTCGTGTCCCCGGGTAACTTCACTTCCTGCCTTGTCCCGTCATCCCCTGTGATCGTCTAATAGTTTCCACTTGTGTCCAATCACCTGCACCTCCCTTGTGTATTTAAGCCGTGTGTCTCCTGTGTCACTTGTCGCGTCATTGTCTTTCGCCACGCATGTCCGTGTCTCTCGTCGTTTGCAGTTCCTGTCTCCCGTTTTGCCCCTTGCCCTTTTGTTTTTGCTTTTGGCTATTAAAGTCCCTTTTCTTTTTGAACTCTGCGTCTGAGTCCTACCCACCCACATCCCTGACAAATACCTTCAGAACAGTGGTTAGAAAAGTGTTGTTCAGCCTTCCGTGTTCATAAGAAGGTTATAATTATACCTAACAAATATCTTTTGCTAAAAAAAAACTGTAAATTACCAATTTTGAAAGAAAAAGGTGGAGAGGCGGTGTGAGGGCATGGTACAAACAACAGCCCAGCTATGAAAAGGATTGCATTTGCTGTCGATTTTAAAGAAAAAACAAATCCTGAACAACATGACCTGGATTGTGTATTGCACAATGTTTTTTTCCATTAGATATCCCAGCCTTATTCTTTGTGAGGCAAAAGATGGGCTCCATTGTGTTGTTAAAAGGTTCCTGTTTCATTCATATCACGGTTGGTGTATATATATATATCTCAGTCTTATTCAGACAGTCTGAATGTTCTTGCATTGCTGTTAGTTAATAGCTTTTTCGTGATAGCTGGTGACTGTTTAGATTGCATAGACTCAGTAGTAGTAGTCAAGAAAGATTTGCAATGCAGCTACGTCTCTTCATTGCGCTTTGGCTCTTCACAGAATGACATTTTTGTTTGTTTATTTCTGGCAGGATTACTAAAACAAAATAATCTTCCCAATGTCTATTAACATTTTCTATGTGTAGATATTCAGGGCTGAAAGGCTGCCATTCCATTGACTTCATGGTTTTCAGATTTAAACATGGAAGCTTATTACCAGCGGACGTGTCACGTCACTAACAACGATTCCCTTCAGAGTGGACAACCACTTTAATATCAACTTGAACTGAACTGACATACTGCCTCAGTTATCAGGTGGGAGCTCGATTTCATCCAGCCGCTCGCTGATCGGAGTGCTGAACAGGGCCGACCTCCTGAAAGGTGCCTTCGGGTTCTGCACGGCAGTCACACCCTGCGGCACGAAATAACACAAAAACATTAAAAACCTTTTTAAATGTGATCAAACCTAAATCTCACATCCTGACACACAATAGTAAAAGAGGACACCGAGCATTAAGGGAATGTAATCGGATGTTGGGATCGGGCCATGAGTGACTGTAGTTCACATTTTAAACCAAATAAACGGAACTTGCACAGATACAAAAGCCTAAACCCACCGTGCTCAGCATCAGAGAGAAAACGACTGAGTGGTCGGCAAATAAATCCACAGAAATCCACAGAAAATATTTGATGTATAATTAATGCAACAGCAAAGCAACAGCAATACATGACACAAAAGGTAAAATGATCTCACACACCTGTATCCGCTGGTAATTCTCACTCCAAAAGGTGACGGCCTCGTCAGTTTTATAATCGTGAACCTGCATATGGCACAAGAGCACAGTGTCCCACACACGCTCGAGAGGCTGGAACCAGATAATGTCTGACAATTTTGATTGATTGCTTGAATGAATGAATTGATTTTAAACAATTAGGTTATGCCATAGGGTAATTGATTAATGACCTTCCGCCCAAATACAGTCAGAGGAGTCTTAATACAACACATTAAATCCTTTACTGTTAATGTGTGGCGTTACTTTGTCAAGGACTTCACGTGTTTTATATCTCTGAAGATCTGAAAACCATGCACAAGGACAACATTGTACTGTTTTCTGTTTTCTACTGTTCTCTTCCCAGACGTCTCCTGATTTGACAGTTTGTTTGTACCGTCTGCTGCTCTTCTGCTTCTTTGTTATCAGTTTCCTTTTGTCAATGAGACATTTTGATCACAAAGGATGAGACGAGTTGAGAGGAAAAAAATGTCTCAATATCAGTCTGAGGCTGAGCCGTCACATGGAAAGAAAAATTCCCACATGTGTACCAAAAACAGACAAATTTAACACCAGCTGCCAAAAACAGCAACACGCACATTATGCAAATACAACAATGCTTTTGTTTTGGTCTAAATCACCTTTCCTCTTCATGGCTATTGCTTATTACGCGGCAACAGCCAGCAATCCTTGGCTTATTTCTCGATCACATTGCAAGCTCACTTCAAACCGGGTCCACTCACAATGGTAACCCAGCCTGCAAGCATACGTTTCGAATATAATGACAATCATGGTTCTGTTAAGAATGACTGTGACTGACTCGTAATGAGGAACTCTCTCACATGAATGTGCTCAAAGCAGCCAGGACTCAACTGAGCCCGGGGACAACCAGCTGCAGATTCTGCAGGGTCACCAGTGTCAAGCTTAGAGAAGACTGTCCACTCATATTAATTTGAACTTGCTTGGTGATTGATGTCAGCTAAATGCAATGTTGCCACTGACCAATGTGATTAGTTGCACATGTGCTTATCCTGCATGGGGGAATGTCTGCCAATCAGAAAGATATATGGATTACTCAACTGATCATTTTAAAACAAAAACAGTCAGCAATCTGTTTGCCCAGATTTCCTACAACGGAGTCTGCACTCCAATGGAAATATTAGAATAAGATTAATGGTGTTGGTTTATGGCCGTTCGAAGAAGGGGGAGAAAGCGAATGATCAGTATCAACTGCTGGCCTTGTTTGATTGGCTGGTAATATAAAAGAAGCAAAGCTAGTTATGTGTAAAGTAGATGAAAACGCATGCATGTACAAACCTAACAAATAAATCATCCAGATGTAGAACTGATGCAACATGTGGGGCTTCATTGTAGTGCCAGTATTGACATTGGAGTTTGGGCACTAAACATGTTGTTATGCTCGTAATTTAGAGTACACATGCTTACACTTACTTGTGTTGTCTCGGGGGTGAGGGGCACAAATCCCTCAACACAGAAATCTTTCTGGGTCGTGGAGCAGTAGTCCATTTCAGGACTCGGCGTATTCAGTTCAGCCTGAACCTCGTCTCTGTGAAAACAAGCGCATGTCACTATGTGGTAGTGTTCGAAGAAGAAACTCAGAAGTACAAGTGTCATTTTTTATATCAAGTGACTTCCAAATATAGTGCAAAAGCCTAATTACACTAAGCCATAATAGCGGCAGGTTTTCCCATGCTGCCGTCGTTGCCTGAATGCAGCATATGATACATGGGAATGGAAGAAGATAACAATTCCGCATTATCCACAGCAATGGTAAAAGTTTTCCAACCTTAACAGGCAAATGGAGAGCAGTCGAGCTCAGTCTGTTCATGAGTAGTAAGAAATGCAATATTCTTTGCACATGTCATTTAATGTCAGTATATCAATGCTCAAAAGACACGGCAAGCTGTAAAAAAAAGAAAAGAAAAGTCTTATAATCTCCAAACCTCTGATTTAGATGAATAAATTATACATGTTGATTAATGTTTAAGGCATTATGTTTAGCATCATATGTTTAACATTACAACCGATCAAGAAAATTCCTCAGAGAACCTTTAGCGGACGAATGAATCAAGCCCGGTTGGTGTGTTGTGACGTCCAGGACATTTAGTGCATATGGCTCAAGACTGAGTGATGAGACACTGTCTACTGCTGGACGAGACATTTTCATGGAAGACCTGATGCTTTGTATTCGTCATGAGCAGTTAACATGTGCTGCGTGTTCACAACCTCATCTGTGGGGTACAGTATATACTCTATAAACAGCATTAGGATGACTGGCCTCCATGTAAAATAACATCATAAAAGTGATTTAAAAAAGGTATTACAGCTGAGATGGAATAGTAAAACAAGCCCAGACGTGTAACTATTACATCATTTTCCTCCCAACTCATGGTAAGGCGGTGCTCTCTGTTTCCATATACAGCGGCTCCACTAGTCGCAATAATTCTTTTAGCGTCAAAAGACTTCAAACTTGATTTACCTCATCATCTCTGCGATATGTTTTTCCAAAAGCTCGCCTCTGATGCCTGATGCAATGGAAAAGAGATGAGCAGAGCATGCATGTCAAATCATAAGAAAAGGTTCTATTCAACAGTTAAAACAAACAAAAAAAAAGCTGTGTCAATGCGAAGGCTGAAACCCAGGACTCTGCAAAACACCTGAAACAAATATGAACACTCTTTTGCAACATATGTGTAGTGTATACATGGGTCATACAATATTGGTAATTGCATCCTGCTGAGGGTCAAAGACAGACACATACCCCGCAGTCTCACCCCTGGACCTTTTGGAGGGACGTAACTCGCTCTCAGAGTGGTGACGGTCTCCATTTTGGAATCCTGGTCCATCGTGAGGATCCCTCCGTGTCCTTGTTTGAGAAGTTGTAACCTCGTCTTCTGAGTGTCAAGAGGAGCAACGGCCCTCTGTATGAATGGAGATGTGGGGTTTAAATGAAAACAGTGAATATAATAATAGGTCGTTTTTTTTATAAATATATTATATAATGGGGAAACCTATCTACAGGGGACCTGCATGTTTTACCTACCAAACAGGGTGTTTGGTTAAAAAAAAGAACGTTTGCTGTGGCGAGAAACCGCTCAGAGAAGCAAACACAGGTGTGACCAATCACATCCATCACGAGCCAATAGCAGCGCCCTGACGTCATTACAGTACCGCCACATAGCTTTGATATGACACAAGATGTAGAGTTACATTCAGCAGTTATACATGACACACAAACAAACATACATTCATGCATAACGTTACATACGTACACGCATGGCTAGCTGACATTACACGAGGATAACTCTAAACTCACCTCCTCTACCCAGTTGTGCAACATACAACCCCGTCCGGTCTTCTCCAAAGGGTTCTGCTGTTCGGCCATTGGAGCATTACGATGAGCGCTAAACTAGATTACGGCGCCGTGTGCGTGAACGGATAAACTTCTTGCGCAAGTCAACTGGCCTATATATGATACCCAATGTCCTCGGAACTAACGCGACACGTCACCTGGCAACAGGGTTCTGTTTAGGGAAGCGTCGCCTTGGCAACTGGAGCCCCCTCCTACGGACGGACGCCCGCTCATATGAATACATCTGCAAGCTTCAGGGCGAGATTCCCTCTGGCGAGCAACGAGAAATGTTTGTCAGAATCAGAAATACACACATTGGGTTGCAGTTGCTCACATTTTAGAATAAAAATGAGTAGCGAAATGCCATAAAAGTATAAAAATAAGGATGCATATATATATATATATATATATTGTACCAGCGTAAAAAAAATAATCCATATAGAAAAATACAAGTAACTCAAAATGGTGTGTGAAAATGCAAGAATAGTGTTGTTTTTCAAACTATCCTATCAGCTCTTCAATCCAGTGGCATTTCCCATCTTGCTCTTGGCCTTGCAGAAGGTGTAGAACAACTGCGGTGTCGAGGTTGTCGACGCCTTCATTGTGCATGCCGACAGAGGTAGTTAGGATCACTCTCACTGTATGTGAGAGGGCTGCGATCAAGTCGGACAAAGATCCCACCGACTATGTGACGATTGCCACTGATCCGTGCTGTGCAGGACTTGGACCAGCCTGCTCTTTGTCCGCTCATTGGGCTTGAGCAAAACTCTCAAGCTCGAGCGTTTGTATATGTTAATGAGGATTCATGTCTGTGTGTTTACATTCAGATGAAGCTCTGCTCCTGGCCCAGATGAGGAGACGCCGCTGCTGGACTCAGAGCTTTACACCCTCCAGCCTTATTTACGAACGCAGGAAAGAGCTGATCTGGATCTCTCTGGGTCTCTCTACGAAGGCTGGTTGCGGCCTTGATATTGGATCATGAGTCCAAGATCAAGTGGATGGTGGTCAGATTTCACCAGACCTTGTAGCGCCGATAATAAGCATTATAAATAACTAAGCCTAGGCTGCAGTATTACATTGAGTGTTTCATAACCAGTTTACAATAAGTGAAAAAAATCAACATTCATTGAATAGCAACAGTCTTCTGTTTCCTACCAAAGTCATTTCACCGATAAATTCCAATCCCTTCAGTGTGGATACTTTTTCCTTGAGTCACTCCAACTACACCCACAATGTGACGGATCCTTTCCAACCATCTCCCTCTGTCTCTGATGGTAACCCCCAACTTGTGGAAACCTGTTGTGAGAAAACCTGTAGGCCTACTGACAAAATCAAGGTTCTCAAAGTCGTTGATGGTAGATGAAAACACCAGAGTGTCATCCAGATACACAACCTTTGTAATCCATATTTGTCCTCATCTAGCGCTGGAAGGTACTTGGCGCTCTGCAGAGCCTCAACGGCCACCAGCGGGAGTTAGCATGTAAAAATATTCTTTATTGTATGTACAAAACAAATGTAAAAATAGAATCACAGCGTCCTGCAGTGCCTAATATTGACTGCAAAAGACAAACACAGGTAGACAATGTCTGTATTTGTGTGAGACCGCCAGAGACCTTAGTGGACTATTATTAGTGATAATAGGCTTCTGTTAGTGTTATTATCTAGTATGTCACTAACTGTGTTAAAAACAATGTGTAGGTTAACGTTACTGTGAGGAATTCTGAAGCTACTTATAAAAAAATCTCAATTTAAGCTTGATGCCTCTGTTTTACGGTCATAGTTGTCTATAATGTTCTTCATCTGTGTCACCGGGTCAGGTTCTGAGTAAATCATAGTTTCACCAGAAACTCCCTGAGCTCGCTCCCTGATCCGGCCTCTGCGGCCTTCGACCTGCAGTCAGAGCCCCGGCGGGAGGCCGGTGAGCTCCCAGCAGCAGCAGCTGCTCCTCTTCACGTCAGGAGCAGAGCGTCGTCCCGCTGCTCTGCCAGACGCTGCTGGGAGTCGACTCAAAGTGCTCTGACTCAACAATATCCTGTCAAAACATTGTTGTTGCAAAGTATTCTAAATTGTATTTGTATTTACCCCATATTGTATTATACTGCTGTTGCATTGTGTTTCCACTGTATTCTTTTGTTATTGTGTGTTTTGGTGCATGCATTTCTGTTCATTGCCCAAAATTATTTAAAAAAAATGCGTGTTAAATGCTTTTAAACGTCTCAAAGGAAAATATGCATTGAAACACATGCAAATAGCACAATAGATTCACTTAATTTATTAAAGCTATTCAGGAATCAGGGATAAGGAACATTTATTGCCTACATATGTTAGAGATACAAGGAATTTGACATTATAAAAGAGTTAAGAGGTTTCTTTAGACAGGAATGTTAAGTGATGGATAATCGCCCCCACATTCCTTAAGGCGAGCACATAAGCTCTTCCTTCGCTCTCCTAGAGAGAGCTGTGGGTGAGGGCATCGTCCCCAGTGAGGCAATTAAAGTCAACAGAGATCACACTCCTTTGATTTGATCACCTGGTAAAATGCCTTCACATCCATCCACTGATTAATCCATCCAACCATCACCCACGGGAACATCCACCCTGGTGAGGAACATCACCGGTCACATGTTGTTTCTTCTGTTTAACTTTCATGTTTGTCCTTTACAAAAGAAAAAAAGAAACACCAGAGCCCCTGGTGTGACGTAACACGGTTTCCTAATGATTTCAAAGCCACTTCCATCTGCGGATGAAGAAAAAAAAGGTGGTGGAACGTGAGTAGATTATTTTGTCATTTACAGTATACTATTCTCAATGTTAAAAAGGGAGTTCCATGCTAGTAAATAATAACACTTTAATAAAACCATTTGTATCCTAAATTGCAAGGATGGATCCATTGATTTAAATCAGTCAGTGTTTACATTGAGAAAAAAAACACATGCAGCTGGTAGTTTTTAACTTTCAAAATCATATTAGCTCATAGCTTGATATTATCTATTATTTTTTTCCTGTCATAAGACATTTTAACATGCAGCAGCTCTCGTTACACATGAAGGTGAGTGTCATTTGCTGCCAAACAAAGGAACAAAATCGTCATTTGTGTAGTAGAAAAAACTTTCAGAATATATTTATTTCACAGTAACCATGCTTATTTACTTGCTTATCACTTATTAATTTCAATGTAAACCATGCAAAAAATAACATTCCGCATCTGCTTCAGTGGAGATTATACAGAAACAAACCCTGTGGTCTGTTGCTGAGGAAAAGCAGAGGAGTTTCCAGTGTCAAACTGTACTTCGTTCATTCTGTTTTGACCCGTGATTATGTTTGCTATAGATACCACATGCATCACTACCTGGATAATGTTCTCTGTCATCGGTGCGCCAGAAAATTAAAACAGGCCAGACTGAATTATCCTTCTACCAAAATATTCACACATTACTAAAGAGTTTACATCTGAGTAGTAAGTAGCAAGTATTATAATGTTATGCGTGAATCTGTAAATAACTAAAGCTAAAAAGGCGAAAAAAGAGAACTTCATCAGTTTCTGTCCAATGACTGTCCTTTTTAAACAATCCAATGTTGATGTTAGACGTAAATCTGTATGTCTGATACTAACGTGTAACGAGTCGTCAGAAATGGTTTGAACATTTAAGAACGGATAGTTGACCTCCAGGCGGCACATCGGCCATCCCGGGTTAAGGATGTTGATCAGCACTGAGCACAAAGGGCAGCTGATTTTTTGAGCAGGCACTTTCACAAAATACTACGCAGGTGATTGGATGGAAGCATCTGCCTCTCCGTGCCGTCTCACGCACACCTGCACCACGCACATGTCTATTCGGAGTGTTTCTGGCCGGGTGGTCGGCCAGAAACACATTACTTACTTGGTCACATGACACCTGAAAAGCAAACCTAGCAATGTGTGTGACATTTGTGTAATTTGTCTAACCCCACAAAAAACCATTGCCAAAAAGCACAGAAATGACCTGGTAGATTAGCTTCGAATTAAGTCGCACCTTGAAACCTGACATATTCTCATGCCCATCAGAAGTACATCAGCTGTATTTTCCTGTAGCGAAAGATTTTTTTATATGTGAATGTCCTTTTAACATGTTATTACATTATTTCTAACAGTGTTAACTTATGATATTATAATATCTACATATATATATATTTTTTTTTTAATTAACTGTTAATTGAAGGTTATGTAAATAAAGATAAAAGTGTCAGACAACAAACTGTTTTTACTCTGCATAGATCCATGATAACCTGATTTGTGTTGCTGATCTACAAACTCCAGCGTTGATTGGAGACTTAAATTAAATAAATGATAATGTTATATATATTGCAATGTTCTTTTTTTTTACGATTTAAAAAAATGTTATGGCTAATGCACTCTTTTTCATTTTGCAGTTTGCTTTGGGGACTTCAAGCTCCCCAACTGGATGAAAAGGCAGAAAATAATAAGACGACAGACGGCCCGGTCAGTTTTGTGGGGTCAGAAGGTCACAGCGGCGTTCAGCAGAGACCTTCACTCGGATGGCCGGGGCTCTAATAGGCGCCGGCGTAGCGTCGCTGTGGGAAGTGGGTGGTAATTACAGCCATTGCAGGAGCGGGAAGGTGTCCCCCTGCAGAGAAGAAAGCACACGCGGCCACAAACACACTGCCTGTGCCTCCGCAGCTGATAATGAGCCTCTAATGATCGGTGATGTCATTACAACAAACGCACAGCTGCCTGCTACCAACACGCTTTTCTCCTCCCCCTATCTGTCCACAGCAGCTTGCGCTCAATTAGGCCGCACACACTTAATGCTCAGTTTCTCCGCGGCACACTTGTTGTGTTTTAGATAATGACAATGGAATAATACGAGCAGCATTGGGGAATGTCAGTGACAGGGCGAATAAAGCCTGCATCAGATAAACTAAAATAATTGCTAGGAGAGTTGAGGGAAAAAGTGCAGTTGATGTTTAATGGCAGATGAAAAAGGAAAAGGAAATCTCCACAGTGCAGTTTTATTTAAACAGACCTTTCTGAAAGGTTACACCGGGTAGACTGCTGAACGTGCTTCTGTACTTCTGCATCCTGTGAGCCCTTTTTTGCAATTCATTCATAAATTCTTTTTGGGAAGAAGTAAAGTTTGTGTGAATTTTGTAAAGAGGATCTGCCTCTGAGAAGAGC